TAAAAAATATATTACAATATCATTATTTTAAATTTTTTAAAATTATTTTTAATATTAATACATTAAAACTATCTAAAAACAAAAAAATAATAATTAAATAAACAAAAATTTTAATTTATAAAAAACGCCGCGTGTTCCCAAAAGGCCTCTAAAGACTAGCAGTTTCGCTTTCGCCACGTATCCCTCTTCAAAACAAACTAAAGTACACTTCCTCTATATAAAGATCTTACCTTCGTTTCTGTCACTCCATTCCCGGAGAACCTGAAAAATGGAGAACCTGAATTTCCTTTCTGTCATTCTCCTGTCACTTATCGCGATATCTCACGCGAGAATACCAGACAATCCTTATCTCAATCTTGAGAGGTCGAATTTCCCGTCTGTACAAGCAGGGAAGATGATAAGGGAGCTGAATTTGTTTCCAAAATCAGAAGTCAACGTGATCGGCGGGGGGGGGGGGGGGGGGGGGGCTATTAGCTGTGATCGGCGGTGGTGATGATGGTGCTGGTGCTATTAGCGAGTCAGGGCACAATAAGAGGATTGTAGAGAGGAAATTTAGGTTTCCTGATGTAGTTGGTGACGAGGAAGAAAGCTTTACCGTTGATGATTTGGGGCATCATGCTGGCTATTACAAGATTGAGCATTCTCATGATGCTAGGTATTTGATTTTAAAAACCCTAGGTTTTTTTCTTTGGTTTTCTTTTTGGGGAGATGGGTTATGTTGGTTTTTGTGTTTGCTTGTTTTGGTTAAAGTTTTGTTTTTTTGGGTAAAGGTTGAATTTTTGAGGTTGGTGTTTAAGTGGATTGGTGATTATTTGAGATTTTTTATGTTTTATGTAGTTGAATGTTTGATTTTGCTTGAAGTTTTGTGTTTTGGGTAAAGGTTGAATTTTTTAGGTTGGAGATTAAGTGGATTGGTGATTATTTGAGATTTTTTTTAATGTGTCGTGTAATTGGATGTTTGATTTTGTTGAAAGTTGAGAGAGTGGAATATTTTATTTAGTTGGTTTCCGATGATTGATGATGATGATGATGTAATGAATGTCTGATTAGGTTTTCATTTTGTGTGAAGTATAATATTTCGGAGGTTTTTCTTTTAAAAAGTTTGTTTGTTGGTTTCTAATTACTGGTGACTTATTGGTGTAATTGTGGTTTGCAGGATGTTCTACTTTTTCTTTGAATCAAGGACCAGCAAGAAGGATCCTGTGGTCATTTGGTTGACAGGAGGACCAGGGTGTAGCAGTGAATTGGCTATGTTTTATGAAAATGGTCCTTACACTATTGCAAATAACCTGTCACTTGTGCGAAATGAGTATGGTTGGGACAAGGTAAGATGCTGTTAAATCTCTTAAGCCGATGCCATAATTAATATTGGACTATAGTTTCAGTCTTTTCCTTCATGTTCCTAACTTTTTTTAAAGTTTGCTGTAGTTTAGCAAATATGATTTGTGAAAAATCATATCATGTTATGCCAAATGAAGCAAATATCCAATTTCTTACCCGATATTATTAAAAGTGTGTTTCATATTGTGTATCATTTAACAAACTTTGGCCAGTAATCGACCTAGGGTAACAATCCATTGATATGTCCTGTAGTTATCTTGTAGCCGTTCAACCTACAAACTTTGCAATTTGCATGATTTCATTGTGGCAACTCTTAAACTAGCTGCTTGGTGAACAACTAGTTTTATTTGGTTTAAGTTTCTTGATTGCATCTTGTGAATATTTGCCACCAAAATAATTATAATTGCACTTTAAAATTTTGTTTTTCTTCACCTAGGCTCCCAGTTGCGCTTTCTGTGTCCTGGATCACTGTAACTTGGTTCTTAGTGCATTGGTTTGGTCGTGATGGTTTATTAGCATGTACATGAGGCACAAATAAAAATTACGCTGCTTTCTGGGAAAATTGTCACTAGCACTATTAACTCCACTTCTGTTCGCTATTCCTTTTCATTAACGAGGTTGGGAAAACTGCAACTTGCCTGCTTGCTGACAAGAGAATTAACATGTTGCTATGATGATTTTGCAGGTGTCAAATCTTCTATATGTTGACCAACCCACTGGTACTGGATACAGTTATAGTAGTGATAGGCGTGACATTCGTCACAATGAAGGTGGAGTTAGTAATGATCTATATGACTTCTTACAGGTTAGTTATCCCGTATTTCCCTGTGATAAGAAATGAGATAAAGCATGATATTCTGGTATCCCATGAACTTCTAATATATTAATAGCTTGAGGAAAGAATTGTATTTGCTAAAGTTTTACTATACTGAATGCTAGTCTTAGTTTGGGACACTAAACATACACTGTGAAACGTGAAAGGATTGGAGGGTGGTTGTTTTGAAATGATTGAGATTTGTTAACGCAACATATTGAAAGGACTAAGTGCATTCTTTGTATGGCACCAGGCCTTCTTCGAGGAGCATCCTGAATTGGCAGAGAATGACTTCTACATAACTGGAGAATCATACGCTGGACACTATATTCCTGCTTTTGCAGCTCGGGTCCACAAAGGAAACAAAGCTAAAGAAGGAATTCATGTAAACCTCAAGGTATATAAATGATTTTGCTTAATACTGACTTTTGATGGATTTGTATAACTTTTATTAATTGCAATTCATAATTTTGAGCAGGGATTTGCCATTGGTAATGGGCTTACTGATCCTGCAATCCAATATAAAGCATACACAGATTATGCACTGGATATGGGAATAATTAAACAAGTTGAGCATGATCGCATCAACAAGATAGTTCCAGTCTGTGAAGTGGCAATAAAGCTTTGTGGTATTGTTGCATCTCAATTTGCTCCAATTCCTTTCAGAGATCAATTTCCTTCTTGATTGTTTCATTGTTTTTAGATCACATATTTTTGTATCAATCCAATTAGTTGTTTCAAACTTTGAAGTTTTCTTAGTGCATGAGGTCCTATTTTGTTGATTTTTAGCTCCGTGGTTCCTTGCTTGAACATGTGCTTTCTGTCTCAGGCACTGATGGTACAGTCTCTTGCTTGGCCTCCTATTTAGTTTGCAATACCATATTCAGCAGCATCTTATCAGTTGCTGGTAATATAAATGTAAGACCTCATAAACCCTCCTGTTGGAGTGTTCATGTGCATCATTTTTTTTTCAAATTCCAATGGACCTCCCTCTCCTTGAAGGAACTCTTCTCTGTATTCATTAAAATATGTTCTCGGGGAAGTTAATCAGAGTCACTTTCATAGACATGAAAATAATGTGCGTGCTGAATACATGTGTAACAAACAACCAAAAAATTACAAGCATTGATATATTCTTTCTGCAGTATTATGATGTTAGAAAGAAATGTGAGGGGAGCCTCTGCTATGACTTCTCAAATATGGAGAAATTTCTGGGCCAGAAATCTGTTAAGGAGGCACTTGGTGTTGGGGATATAGACTTTGTCTCCTGTAGCACTACAGTCTACATGGCAATGCTTACAGACTGGATGAGGAATCTCGAAGTGGGCATTCCTGCTCTCCTTGAGGATGGAGTCAAGTTGCTTGTGTATGCTGGAGAATATGATCTCATCTGCAACTGGCTCGGTAAGTAATACCAACTACTAGGGTATAGCGAGTTTCATTTATTTAACCTTTATCCAAGGCTAAGGTTGAATATTATATGAGCAGGTAATTCAAGATGGGTTCATGCCATGGAGTGGTATGGTCAGAAAGAGTTTGTGGCATCTCCTGAAGTTCCCTTTGAAGTTAGTGGTTCAGAAGCTGGAGTGCTGAAAAGTTATGGGCCTCTCGCATTCCTTAAGGTCTCTCTCTTTCTCTCAAAACAATTAGTTTCAGACTTTTTTGCCAAAAATGATAGCTTCTATTTTATAATCAGTGCTAATCTAGTTGCACAATGCATCTGCCAACAGGTCCACGATGCAGGGCACATGGTTCCCATGGACCAGCCCGAGGCTTCATTAGAGATGCTGAAGAGGTGGACTCAAGGCAAATTGTCGGAAGTCACACAGGAGCCCCAACAATTGGTTGCTGAGATGTGATTGCCTTTTATCTAGCTTTAGTAAGAGTGACCGTAATACATGGTTTCCCTTTACGCTTGTAAATATCATTTTTCTCACGGGTCAAACAGAATCCTAGACAATGTGGTATCTTGCCTTTTGATTCTCTGAAGGTTATAGACTTCTAGAATCAGAGAGTTTTATGGATGCATGTCTTCTTACCTGACTGTTATATCGTTTATGCATTGTGCTGAAAATCTTACATTGCAAATATCTGTTTGAGGAATTTTAGCATCTAACAGCATGCTATCGGGATATATCAACTAGAGACTGCAGCATTTGTCCACAACTACCTACAGTGGCGCACGCTTTGGGCCAGCTTGTACTTGAGAGTTTTCCTTCAGCCCGATATTGAGAGGACATAGATGCCACTGTTTGCAGATTACCACCTTACCATATGGGCCACTGTCGTAGTTCACTGCCGTTACGAGATTATTGCCATGCAAAGCATGAAAAACCTATTTTTGAGGTAACATAAGATTATTTAGGACAAAACGATCCTTGTACTGAATGTCGGGCCATCGTTTTCCTGTTATTTGAGGATAAAATTTAACTTGATTTTACCATGTAATTTCATTGTAACATTTTTTATTCACGATACTAGTTATTAGTTATCATACCTGATGTGTGATCTAACTTGTTTCAATACTCACAACAAGTTGTGGGTTGGTCAGATTAATTTTTTGATCAATGAGTTAATTCAAGTTTATTTCAAAACAAAGTTGTTTTAGAGGTTTTTTTTAATGAAACAATATTTTTTCAAATAATTTTCTTAAAAAAATATATATATCTGAGTTATATTAGTAATAGTGATTTTGTTTGATGTCTTGGAGTTAAAATAGTTAGTTAGGTTTTATCTGGACCTGAATCAAATTATAAATTATGGTGCATTGGATTGACTCATCAAGTTGGGGCGAATTTAATAATTATGTTTAGGAAGCACATATATACATATCAATTAAATTAGAACTTGGTCTCCAATGGGCGTCCAAAAAAATCTTTTAGGACCCACGTCATAAACCTATTTGCATAATTTGACGTGGCAAGTTATTGTTGGACACGTTGGAAGATACTGGGAACAGTAAAACTGGAAAAGATGCAAACCTTAGCTACTTTTATCAAGAACATAGAGCAACGGAGTATGTGAACAGTTAAACTCCCAAAAGACCAGGAAAAGAAGTGATTGCTCTCATGGCTTTTGCTGTTAAATTCTCAACCAACCATTGTTTAAACTCCCATGATCTTTTGCTTCCTTCGGATTCATCAAACCCAACCTCAAAGATATCACCAGTTTCTTCTCTATCAACAAGAGATGCTGGCCATCACATGAAGCTTAAGCACCCATCAAGAGCATCTGCTGAAGGTTTCCTTGGCTCCCTTTCAAAGTTCACTGATTAGTATTGCTTCAGTTGAGTTTTTCACTTGTCGCTTGCAGGAATTTCTAGTTAGTTAATAGATGAAAATTGTAAGTTTACTAATTATTCAACAAGCGTAAACCTGTCATTTTGGCTATATGCAGCACTAGAACCAGATGTATTTGCAGCTCTTGTTCCAAACAGTGCTGATAAATCACTGCAAAAATTAATAGAAAGAATTCTGGCTGGTAAGCTGATCTTGCTGATTTCAGTAAACTCCTAAGCAAACATCCTGCATCTTCTCAGTTCTCACCAACGAATATAATATAATTTCCTGTGCAGACGGCAGATCAACCTATCTCAACATAAGCAAAAGGAAAACAGATAATTGAAGGCTTGAGTTTACTTTCTCAATGAGACTGTAGTTTTTGGAGTTTCCAGGACAATCTAGTTCTCATTGATTGTGATTTATCAGAGAAGTAGTCACAGCTGCCTTCATCAGTTGGAAGAATTCTTTTTTTTTTTTTTTCAGAATATTTATTACTGTATTGAAAACTGCTATCTACATCACTTCATATATTACAGAATGGATAATGTTTTTTTCATGGTGAAAGAGAAATATCACTATCAACAAGTAAGAGAAGCAGGAGCCGAAACCTGCTTCCAAAGCTTTATCATAGCAAATCCCGTTACTGCACAAACCATGGAAGCGAGGCTGAGTACTAGCAAGATTACACACAAAACTGAAATCTAGAAGTTTATACTGATCTTTCTATTCAATGCATTGCAGATACATATTTCACAGTACATTCTCATATATCATGTCTGTATCAATATTGCTGATAAATCAGACATACAGAATTCAACTATATGTGTGATCATCGACAAGACTCCAACTGGAAGTAAATTTGCAATTCTCCCCTCCGATGGAAGAAATTCAACACAAGACTCTCCCTTTGAGCTTCGACAAGATATACACTCTTCACAATTCTGGCTGCAAGCCAGGGTGGCTCCTCTCCGAATGCTAACGACTATCGATCTGAAAAATGATCGCCTCTGACCTGCCAAATAAGAGAGTTGGTCAAAAGCTTTGAAAAAAAAAAAAAAAGTATTCTAAACGAGTCTCAGCTACCATGAATCCCAAAGTCTTTGCAACCTAGGTTGTGCTTGAGGCAGGGTGGGAAATTTTTTATGAAACCAAACAAAAAGCATGGAACAATTTTAATCTGTTCAGTTTAATCCAATCCTCACACACTGAAAAAGAAACAAGATCGCATCCGAGAACCATAGATAAAAACATATCTGAGAATTATAAATGAAGAGGTCAGACATGAGATATTGGAGGAAATTAAACAGTAAGAAGAGAACAAAACAATCCTGTTTAATTCCCTCCAATCCTCACATTCGGCCAAGACATGATATTCGTTTAGTTGCATGTTGGAGAGGAATCAAGTAAAAGAAACTAAACGAAAATCGGCACCAAAACAAACAGTGACATCTCTTTAGTTCCCTCCAATTTTCACACACAACATGCACTCTTGACTTTGAGGCTTCAACTGGCTTTGCCTTTACCACAGGCTTTGTCTCGAACCAACCACCGGATAGTTATAGACTCTCTAAACTCCGAAGGAGCAAGACAAACTAACTTCACAATTTTCACACAACAGCATGATTCGCATGCTCAAAAGCAGTTACAAATACTGTGTGCGTGTTTGTACGGTTCAGAGCATTTGAATTCTCCCTGTATATGCATGGCCCAGATTACAAATCCTCTAGACAGGTTGCACAAACGGGTGCAATGCTGACGACAGCCAAGTTCTGCGGTAGATATTTCAAAAGTAAATTGGGTTTATTTGAGAGAGGCCGAACTCAACAAAGCCTGGTAGTATAATAATCTCCCACTCACCAGGAACACAGCCCATATTGGGGCCCAGATAAATGACTTCAAAGGCCAGCCCAAGATACCTTCCCAGCTCTTTAAAACTTCATAGAAGATTATTGATATCTCGAATATGCTAAGGCATCTTGTGCATATCATACAAACCCAACACAGTTCAGGTTTACATCTTCATAGTAACGTTTGAATGAAAGTTCTTCGCTTGTCCCTTGCAGGAATTCCCAGTGAGTTAAATGACGAAGATTCAAAGTTTGTTCCTCCAAGTGCAAATGCTAATGACTCAACAAACGATACATATTTACTTCACTTCCAAATGAATATTTTCCTGAACCATGTAAGTGTTTTCAAGCTCTGTACAAGCAACAAAAGGTCGAGGGCACTGGTGAAAAAATCTAGGAAGTCTTTATACTGATCTTCACACTCAATGTGTTTACAAATACATATTTCTTGACAAAAAAAAAAAAGAGTAAAAAAACAAAATTTACTTCTATCTCACAGTCAATTCTCATGTTTAACGTGACAAGTACATATTTCTTGGTTTCCTCTCTGGGCTTCAGCTCTTCTAACTTTGCAGCAAGAACGAACCACCCCCAACCTCTTGCCAGACAAGAAAGTAGGTAGAAAGCTCTAACCAAGGAGCAGAAACATCAATTCTCATGTATTTAATAGCAGTCACAAAAAAAGGGGGAAACTTTTTCTCCCCGATTGCTAAATGTCTTGGAAGCTAATGTTATCAAAATGAACATCTATCCATGGAATATCAGACGAGCAAATGTCACAGCTGATTCACCAGCATTTCCCTCACAATCCAAGAACATCAATCTCAAAACTAGTTTCAGTAACACTAACCAGCATAAAGATGCTCCTCCATCAAAAAAACAGAACACAACTGTCATCCACAAGTCATAACAAAAAAACCAAAGACGCAACAAATGCCATATCAATCACAGATGATCAAATTGAATCCTCTGTTTTTCACTAACACTAGCCAGTGTTCTTTTTAAACTCTAAGAAGGTAATCTCCAGTATCAGTAATAACATGCTATAACCTCCTTCCCTCCCTCACCAAAACACAGTAACTGGAAAAAAAAAAAAAACAGGAAGATTACATATTAATCAAACATCAAATCAATTACACAATCCAACAAACACCCAATCTTCCATTAAAACAAATTAACATAACCGAAAAACCCAAACTCAAACAAAGCAAAACATGCCAATCATCATAGGAACTGTACAACCAACTTAAATGTAAACTCAAGCAAACCAAAACATGCCCTAATGACCAGAAGGAAAAGCAACACATTCACTAAACATCACATCAAAAATATATAGACAAATTTTAGAAACTCAAAACTTATTCCAAATTTTTTCACCACCATGATCAAAACTCATACTTTAATATCAAGAAAATCAACATTACCTCCGAAAAGAATCCCAGAAATCACTCCTCTTCATCACTCTCATCACTGAAGTAACTAGCTTTCTTAACCTTCACTTTCTTTTTCTCCACCTCTCCCCCCTTCAACAACCTCTCCTCCACCCCTCCATCCACCGCCGCAGCCCACTTCTCCTCCTCAAACTCAGCCTCTTCTTCCTCCTCCTCCCAATCTGCCCCGCCCCTTCCGCCGCCGCCGCCGCCTCCACCACTGCCTCCCCTCCCTCTCTTCACCACAGGCCTCTCTCTAATCCCCAATCGATTCCTCGGACACTCATAACTCAAATGTCCATCTTCTCCACACTCATAACACTTACTCTTATCCTTGTAAACCCTCTTCTTAATAAACTCCGCCGCTCTACCATTATCTGCTGCAATCGACGCCGACAGAGTTCTCCCATTGAGAATCTTCTTGTCCATCTGTTCAACGGCGGTGACCGCGTCGCTGCGAGATACGAATTGGATGAATGCGACACCGCGCGATTTCCGTGTTGTTCGGTCTTTTAAGACAGTTACACGTGCTACTTTGCCGAAGGTGGAGAAGAGTGTGTGGAGGTCTGAGTTTGTAAGGGAGAAGTCCAAATTGGATACGTACAGGGTTGATTTTGATGGTGCTAAACCGCCGGATCCGCCGTGGGTTTTGGTGGAGGAAGTTGGGTGTTGTGATGACGTGGTGGCGGAGGAGTAGCGGTGGTAAAATATTTCGTCTTCGTCACTGTCACTGTTGCGTTTTTGCTTCTTCCCCATTTTTTTGACTTCCTAGCTGTCGTTAGTTTCTTCTTTTTCTTTTTAGCTTTTGCCTGTTGGTCTCGAGAAATAAATACTTTGCCTGGAGTGGGCCTTTTCTTCGATTGTAAATATGAAATCTACCCTCCAAACCAAAACTCCAACCGAAGAAAAGTTGTCTATAGACATGGTAAAACACTTGCATTATACTCACTTCTACAAAAATACCATGAAATAAATAAATAAACGTCTTAATGCTTTCTCAGGAGGAATGGGCAACTAAACGACTTAATGCTTTCTCAGGAGGAATGGGCAACCCATCAAAAATTCCCATCTTAATCCTTTTGCTTTAACAACAGTTTTACACCTTGCTCATCCCAGCAAGGCCCTTCGTTTTTCTTTTGGCTCTGTATAAAGACTCAATCCCTAAAACAGATAGATATTAATAAAAGGAAAAGAAAAATATCAGTCAGCTATCATGATTTTATCTGACATAGTCAAAATCAAATACTTTATTATTTACTACAAAGTTAAAAATATTTTTTAAACATAACATCAAATATATAATATAAACTCAATATAAATTTAAATTATAAAATCATAAATAAAATATTTTAATTAATTTATAAAATTTAGTCAAGTAATATATAATAATATAACATAATTAAAATAAAAATAAAATTTAATTAAATTGTAAGTTCAATCATATAGATTAAAATTGTTTTCATTTCTTTTCAGTTCACCGATCTTTATTCATATTCTAAAAATAAACAAATCTAAGTGAATTGGATAGTAAGTGGATTGGATAGGAAGATGCTTTTAATTAATAATATTTTATTTTACTTGTTGATATAATTATATAAAGTCACATATCATAAACTCTCTAACATTATTGTTCTACTTGTTCAATGATTTTCAATAGAAGTTTAGTCCTAAAAATATGTGAAATAAATTGATGACACTAAGTTTTGCACGAAACATATAGCTAAACAACAAAGAAACATATAGCTAAACAACAAAGAAATATAAGCATGAAACAACTGATAAAATAGGACCCTTTGATTGTTTAGAAATATAGTCAATATCTTTGTTTTGTTTTCCAGTTTTTCAAATACAGTATTTGCTGGCTTGGGTCTGCATCTTATACTTTCTTGTTCCTCACGTCGTCCAATTAAATTTTATGTGATGAAAGACTGTTGAGAAGTGATTGCTAATTGGATCAAATTTCTGATTTTTCTATGCAGTGATGAATTGGGTCATTTTGTTGCTAATAAACATTACCTAATAAGCCTTAAGATGGAAAAGTGTTCTAATATGGGGGCAAAATATGCTTATATACTCATAGAGAAGACAACCCTAGCTAGTCAAAACACACACACTAGTTTGATTCTAGGTTAGCAGCAGCAGGAGCTTAACTTGAACACACAAACTAAAAGCTATTGCTTTTGATATGCTATCCAGTTATCCTAGTGATCATCTTATTAGTGTTAGCTATAAAAAGGGATCCATGCATCCAGCTGTTAAAAGCTTATTTTGAAATCTTTTTATTTTTATGCTAAATTACATAACCCTAATGAAAAAGGTATATACTAATTAATTAGATAGCGATGTCAGCTCGATTAGTTTCATATGAGATTGTATTTTGTAATTAAATTTTTCATGCAAGATTTCAAAAAGCTGTTGTTGAATATATGTGATTGCAGGGATGATCAAGGCTTTTATAACATAGATTGCAAAAATAGGCAGATGGTTTTGGATGAACTGAGAGAACTTGAAGCGTCTAGCAATAAAATATTAAAATCTTATAAGCACTACAGTACCACTGCTAAATTACTTAACTTTTTCATATTCCTAATTTTCCTTCTTTGTACAAACTTTGTGCTAAACAAATAATTCAATGAAAGGGATAATGTAAGTTAGTACAACGCAAGTTACTAATGGGATTTTTTAAAGATTATTTGTCATATAAAACAACAGATAGAGACTATTAACAACAATAACAACAACAACAACACTGCATTTGCCAGAGATGCACATGTGATGTTTTACAAATGATAGGAGTCATATGACCATTAACAATAACAACACTGTATGGAGCCAGGAAAAAAACATGCTCTCTTCTATATAATAAAACAAGATAGAAAAGATGAGAATATGTTATATATTTGTGCTGCTGGTGAGTGGAGAGTCGAGACTTGAGATTCTACACTCTTGAATATGCTAAATGTTAATATTAGTTTGTTAGGGCTGAGACTTGAGATTTTGAGAATTTGAGACTTGAGAATTTAAGACTTAAGATTATACGCTCCTCAATGTTGATATTAATTTGTTAGGGGCTGAGACTTAAGATTTTGAGAATTTGGAGTGGTAAGGTTGTCTTTTCATGAGGATACATTTGGCATTGATATGATAATTGAAAGAAAATGGTGTTGTGCCGTGAATGATTCAAAAATCGACAACAATGAATCTGACGAAAATGAATGAAGGATGGGTCTGGTTGTATTGTCTTTCTTCTGGTGTTTAGGCTAGATTATAGTATTTTTAAGGTAAATAAAAATGGAGGATAAACTAGAGTGATACTTTGATAAGTCAATCTGGACGCCACAAAGATCAATCTAGGATTTTGACGCCACACTCTTTGTGATTGAAGAGTGATAAGTCAGGTAGGGTTCTTCACAAATCAATTTGGAAGAATAACTCTTAATTCTCGGAATTAAGTTCAAATATTGGCCAAAAAGTTGTTTATTACATATTTTAATGCCATATTTATAATGGAACATCCCTCCACACTTAGGAAAATTCAACATGACAGAAATCAAGCCTAAAACTTGGACTTTGACAAAATAACCAGACAAATTACACTAACACACATTTTCTGACTTTAATTGAAACATAAACAGACCGAATTTAAAATGGCTATAACTTCTTGCACAAAAGTCCAATGCAATCATGGTTGGACAATCTGGAAAGATCACGTTCTGAACTTGAAATCCACCTAGATTAGTCTTGTTTTCACATGCAATGGATGACTTCAAATTTGGGTTCAAATTTATCTACTGTTCTAACGTAAACAACATCAATTTCTTAACTTATTTGCATTATCAACCCAAATTCAAGTAGTCCAGCATCAAAAGAACCATTAAGGGCTCTTCCCATCTTTAAGCTCCAATTGTAGGCAAATAAGCACCCTTGAACCAATTTGAAACTGATTGCCAAATTTTAACTCCGACGCAGCTTCAATCATTCCAATCTGACTCGTCAAGGTCCTTTGTAGTTGTTTCGCTCTCGCTCTTGTCATTGGACCATCTGAATCCTCTTGCATATTTGATTTACCTTTACGAGATGGATTATCATTCCCATGATGCACATCATCAGCCCCGGGTTGATAATGATTTGTCCTCAAATCATAATCGTCGTCATCATCCAAGTATGGAGTCAAGTCTTTCACATTAAAAGTAGCTGATACATTGTAATCACCAGGAAGATCTACCTTATACGCATTATCATTCACCTTCTCTATAATCCGAAATGGACCATCAGCTCTTGGCATCAACTTGGACTTGCGTTTGCTTGGAAATCTGCCCTTACTAAGATGAATCCAAACAAGATCACCAGGTTCAAACCTAACCATTTTCCGCCCCTTGTTAGCTTGTTTAGCATACTTTGTTGTTTTCTCCTCAATATGTAATCGAACCTGCTCATGTAGTTTCTTCATCAATTCTGCCTTTCTAATTCCATCCATAGATGTCCTCTCATCAATTGGAATATGAACAAGATCAATAGGAACACAAGGATTAAAGCCATACACGACCTCAAATGGTGAAAATTTTGTAGCCCCATGCACACTACGATTATATGCAAACTCCACAATAGGCAAACAAGTATCCCAACTCTTCAAATTCTTATGTATAACAGCTCGTAACAAAGAAGATAAAGTTCGGTTTACTACCTCAGTTTGTCCATCAGTTTGTGGATGACATGCCGTACTGAAAAGTAACTTCGTTCCTAGCTTCCTCCAAAGAGTCTTCCAAAAGTAGCTTAAGAACTTTGTATCACGATCAGAGACAATGCTTTTAGGAACTCCATGCAAACGAACAATCTCTTGAAAGAACAAATCAGCTACATGTACAGCATCGTCAGTTTTGTTGCAAGGAATGAAATGGGACATTTTGGAGAATCGATCAACCACAACCATTATTGAATCCTTTCCACGCTGTGTTCTCGGTAACCCCAGTACAAAGTCCATGCTAACATCCATCCACGGTTGCTCTGGAATAGGCAACGGCATATACAGCCCATATGCATTCTCTTTACCCTTAGCTTTCTTGCAAATAGCACATCTCTCAATCACCTTGTGCACATCCCGTAACATGCTAGGCCAAAAGAAATGTTCTTTCAGCAACTCATAAGTCTTCTTCTCCCCAAAATGACCACTAAGACCACCACCATGAGCCTCTCGCACAAGCAACTCCCGTAATGAACCTGAAGGAATACACATTCTGCCCATTTTGAACAAGTAACCTTCATGCATAAAGAACCCATCACAAGCTCCCTTTGCACATTCGGTAACCACATTAGCAAAGTAGGAATCATTAGCGTATTGATCCTTCACTTGTTCAAAACCCATCAGCCTTGCATTCAACATAGAGATCAGTGCATACCTCCTAGAAAGAGCATCAGCAACCACATTAACTTGCCCTTTCTTGTACTTTATGACATAAGGAAATGACTCCATAAACTCCACCCATTTAGCATGTCTTCGATTCAGCTTGCTTTGCCCCTTAAGATACTTCAAGGATTCATGATCAGTATGAATAACGAATTCTTTTGGCAACAAGTAGTGCTGCCATACCTCCAGAGCTCGAATCAAAGCATAGAACTCCTTGTCATAAATAGAGTAGTTCAAACGTGCTCCATTTAACTTTTCACTGAAGAATGCAATCGGCCTCTTTTCTTGCATCAAAACAGCCCCAATTCCAACTCCGGAAGCATCACACTCTATTTCAAATGTTTTAGCAAAGTCTGGAAGTGCTAAAACTGGAGCAGTACACAACTTTTCTTTAATTAGCTCAAAAGCTTTCTGAGCATCTGCACTCCATCTAAACTCGTTTCCTTTTTTCAAGCATTCTGTCATAGGAGCAACAATAGAGCTGAAATCTTTCACAAATCGCCTGTAGAAAGAAGCTAAACCATGAAAACTCCTCACATCAGCGATACTAGCAGGTTTTGGCCAGTCCCGAATTGCCTCAATTTTCTCCTCATCAACCTTAACTCCCTTGCTAGAGATAATATATCCAAGAAACACGACACTTTCTTTACAGAAGTAACACTTTGTGAGTTTCCCATACAACTTAGAATCTCGCAAAGTTTCAAACACAACTCTAAGATGCTTCACATGATCATCAAAGGTCTTGCTATACACTAGG